AGGGCCTAATGTGAACAAGAATACTTGCCTTTTCATTGTCTAATAACTGAGTGAGGGGGAAATCCAGCTTGTTTTCTGATAGAATATGGATTAGATTTTGGGTTTTTTGCTAGAGTTAAATAGCTTGGTTTTTTCCAAATACTTTCACCCTAGTCTTTATAGAACTCTGTTCTTTTGAAATATTTGGAGTATTTTGATTCTGAAACTTTTTCTCAGTTTCAGGTTTCTGTTAAACATGAGAAGGTATCTCAATTTTCTGGGTTAACTCTTTGAAGAAAACTATAAAAGCAAGCTAGTTCCTTTCCCAAACAGTTCTAATGTGTATCTAATGTGGCTTCATCAGAGTCAGGATGCCTCATGGTAGTAATAAAATTTGCTAAAGATTTACTAGGTCAAGCCATTTTATGTTGAATAAACTATACACTGTTAAAACTGATTGTGACTGAGATAGTCTTGCAGGCTACAAAATTCACATCTTGAATGATTTGTACTGGCACAAGCAGCGAAAGTTGTAGCCTGGTAAATTTTTTTTGTGTGTGGTATAATGGAAATCTATTTAAACTTCTTGCCTTCATTTTTTGGCTTAGGTGTTTGGGGTTTTTTGTTTGTTTTGTTTTGCTTTTTTTGTTAACATGCTGCCAGGTTCATTTGCCTACTGCTTGTTTCTCTTGCAAATCTTGCTCTTTGGTCCACACTGCATTTTAGCAATCTAATTGCTGGAGCAGCTTTCCTTTACCACTGCAGAGCTATATTGTAGAGTTTTTTTCTTTAGTTATACAAATGTTGTAATTTACAGATGATAATATAGATAAGGAATAAGGAACCTGCCAAACTTAGCTGTTGTGCTATAGTAGCCTTGTTTGCTGCTGACAGTACAAGTTCCATATTCTCACATGTTTTTCAGTTATTCCCTGTCTTCCAAATTCCTGTTTTTAAAACTGTTCTGGAAAGAAGGGTTTGTGATGGTTTGCCTTTTTTTTGCAGCACTGCCACTTGCATTTATGAATTGCCACCTGATGCAAGGAGTCTCTTAAGATGTAATTCAGCAAACCTCTGATCAGTTCCCCCAAATAATTGGATTTGTTGTGGGCTGAAATTGGCACTTACCCAGATATTGTGGGTCGGCTGCTGTTCTTGTTCACACTGGTGAAAGAACTAAAGTGAGGTTATTTTGGACTTAGACAAGCAGAAATGAGAACTCAGTTTGGTTGCAAATTCCAAATGGATGAGCGGGCTTCAAAATGAGCTTTAACATCTTCTACACCTTCCTGAAAATTTTAAAGTGGTTTCTAAACCGAACACTTCCTCCAAGCCTCAGATCTCAGAGATCACTGAAAGGCATGGCAACGTTATTCCCGTGGGGGCAAAAAGAGGCAGGGCACTGTCCTCTCGGCAGTTATGCCCAGATATTAAAGCTGTCCACATGGTGCTCAGGATTCACTTTCTTCCTCTGCAACAAATCCCCCAAAATAGAGCAGACAATAAAAGCCCGACACTTGCTATAGCATTCGGCCAAGTTGGCCTAAGGCTGAGGTGGAGGGAAGTCTCGGCAAAGACTTTTTTGTTTTCCCCTCCCAAAGCTCTGCTCAGAGGCAGGGTTCCTGGCGGCCCCTCTTCTGTTTCCAGAGCAGTTGCATAATTACTGCAGGACTTCAAAGATAGGTTAAAGGAAGCCATTAAGGATGTTTTCCATCTCTGGACTGGAGAAACTTAAGGTGGTTTGTCAACTTACCCTAAAACAGAATTCATCCCTTTGAGGAAAATAATTACTTTCTGCAAATGCAGGAACTTAAGGTGGTTTGTCAACTTACCCTAAAGCAGAATTCATCCCTTTGAGGACTGCAAATGCAGCTTTAATTTGCTGTTGATCTTTTGAAATTTAAAATTCATCGCTTTTTACCTGTTTTGCTTCAACTCTTTTAACTAGGGTAAATCTGCTTTAAGATTATTCTCCTTAGTGGTGGATATATAAAATAATATTTAATTCTGCAGCTTGAAGCAGTGGCATTTTCTGTGAAGATCCTGGCCCACCGTGTATTTAAGATGCTGTCTAGTTGTATACGGCTTTAATTTGCTGTTGATCTTTTGAAATTTAAAATTCATCGCTTTTTACCTGTTTTGCTTCAACTCTTTTAACTAGGGTAAATCTGCTTTAAGATTATTCTCCTTAGTGGTGGATATATAAAATAATATTTAATTCTGCAGCTTGAAGCAGTGGCATTTTCTGTGAAGATCCTGGCCCACCGTGTATTTAAGATGCTGTCTAGTTGTATACGAAGTCTGTGCTAATTGGCCTCTTTGGCAAATTATGGAGACTTCTTTTAATGACTATATGGAGGAGGCAGGGGGGAAACAGCAATGAGGAACAAAATAAAAGAGGAAATTCATGTGTCAGTTTGCACAGCTACTAACTGTGTAGGAATGCTTTATATGTTAAAAATAAATTGCAAGCCTGTGTAGGGACATTTAAAATAAACTTTCTCCAGTGTCAGCTAATTCCAAAATATGAAAAAATAAGTAAAGCCAAATAAAGATAGCTATTTTTTTTGTCAAAGGGACACTTTTTTCTTTGTTTGACTCCCAAATCCTTCTAATATCCTTGCAGATACTATGCCTCTTCTGAGGAACTTCTCATTACCTAAAAGTAAGCCACATGAATCAATGGAGAAATAACCTTTCTCTGTGACAAGGCTCATCCCTAACAGTAGAGAAGAATCTGAAGAGCTCACTCCAAGCCCAGCCTACCCCTACCTAAGTTGTACCCCATTGCAGAACCTCGGCTTGGCCCTCAGTTTCATGTCATAGTCGTGGGTCTGACTTCTTGTGCAGCTCCACAGTTCAAGGCAGGACTGTTTCCTTTCCTTTAGTAGAGAAGAATCTGAAGAGCTCACTCCAAGCCCAGCCTATCCCTACCTAAATTGTACCCCATAGCAGAACCTCGGCTTGGCCCTCAGTCTCATGTCATAGTCATGGGTCTGACTTCTTGTGCAGCTCCACAGTTCAAGGCAGGACTGTTTCCTTCTCTCAGGAAGCATTCTAGATTCCCACTGAGAGTGAGTGTTGTTTGTCTGAAATACATGTGTTTGCTTTGGGCCTTTTCTCAGGAAGCATTCTAGATTCCCACTGAGAGTGAGTGTTGTTTGTGTTTGCTTTGGAAACAAAAAAAAAAATCTTCTGCAAAGCCTTATGAATTCAAGGTAGAGGCTTCGCTCTGTATCTTAGATGTGAGACGTGGTCTAATCTCTAACTGTTTGGGCAAAAGCTTTTCAGGCTTTAAGGGCAGGAGGGTCAAAACAATCTCTAGCCAGAAGCTCTCCAAATGAATTTAGACTGGATGTGAACACGCTACAAGATTTCCAAGGAGACCCATCTGTGCCCACTAGAGTGTACTCACTTCAGTGTTCTCCAGTGGTGTTGCCTGAATGCCTTCCAGATTGATCACTTGGAGCTCTATCTCTGTATGTAATAGCATTGGGGTTTCTAAGGTTGAGGTCGGGGAGCTGGTGAACACGCTACAAGATTTCCAAGGAGACCCATCTGTGCCCACTAGAGTGTACTCACTTCAGTGTTCTCCAGTGGTGTTGCCTGAATGCCTTCCAGATTGATCACTTGGAGCTCTATCTCTGTATGTAATAGCATTGGGGTTTCTAAGGTTGAGGTCGGGGAGCTGGTGGTTTAGCCTCTCTCTCCTCATCTCACTGTCAAGGTGGGAAGCTTCTGCTTTGACATGGCCAAGTCTGAAACACACTTGAAGACAATTTGCCATTTGATGCCTTGCTCTAGAGCTCTATCTCTGTATGTAATAGCATTGGGGTTTCTAAGGTTGAGGTTGGGGAGCTGGTGGTTTAGCCTCTCTCTCCTCATCTCACTCTCAAGGTGGGAAGCTTCTGCTTTGACGTGGCCTAGTCTGAAACATACTTGTAGACAATTTGCTATTTGATGCCTTGCTCTTATGCATGGTGCAAAGACTGTTTTATCCACTGTTTCTGAGCCCAGAAATTCTGTAGGTTAAAGGAGACCAACACACAATAGATGCACTCTGTGCTTTGCATCCTTAGAGAGGGATGTTCTCTTGTGCCTCATTCGTATCTCTTTTTGGCCTGTTGTACCAGTAAGTGGAGCATCCCTTGTGAAATAAGGATACCAGCAACTGTCCAAAACTCAAGTGCTATAAAGAAACTTCTTCTGCCTTGTTTAAAAGTGAATGAATGTTTCTAAATATTGACTGCAGTTATGGAGAGCTGATGGTCCGAATGGTGATGGCACTCCCACGTGATTCTAGCTGCTGCTAACAGTAAGCATCTGATGCCTGCTCTGTAGGGGGTAGCGAGTGCTCCATGAGACTGTTGAGATGCCCCAGCCCAACAGTGACGTGCAAGGAGTACTATTTGTGACAGGTGTCTGGAGTCTTCCTCAAGTGGGAAAAAGCCACAGACAATGGCAATGGGAAAGCGAATAAAATCCTGATGCTCACAAAACCATAAGGGACTGTGGTACAGCTTTGGACAGGACTTGCTATGTGCATATGTTGCATTGGAAGTGTCGTTTGCAGAGCTGAGAAGAAGAAACCTTCCTTGGCCTGTTTTCAGGACAGGGATGAGTATGTAACGTGCATGTATTCTACTGACCATTTGGTTTTCTTATTTTTCTAGTTCTTCCACTACTTTCTATAATGATTAGTAGACTGGAATACTCCACCTCAAAGTAGATTGCAAAGATAGTTCTTGTTAGATACTCAGAGATGAAGGCTCAGCTCTTACACTGAGGTCTGGAACCATCCCAAATGCTGACCCTGCACAATTCTGGGTCAGCACAAGAGCACAGCACTGGCAGATCTTGGGCTGCTGGCCTGCTGAAGTACAGCGTCCTGGTCCTTCATTCTGGCAATACTTGCTATATACTCTTTAAGTAGAAAAGCCCAAAATCCAAATAAAGTTTAACACATACAATTATACATTTATATCTGCTTTACTGGGAAGTTGTAAAGGAGTTCTTGAGTTGTTTCAGTGAAGACATGCTTTTTTGTATTTGTACCTTTTTTGGTAAGGAAGCTCAAATGATCAGTAAACAGGCGATGGTTTCCAGTTCTCCTCAGAGTTGCTGGGGGGATGATTCACATAAACTTGGAGAGAGTATCACATTGCAGTGTTAGAACACACCGGATATGTTTACATTGTAGTTGTGAGAGCAAGTACATTTTAAGCTAATTTATTGATTGTCCAAGCTCTTTGCAGATGCGGTGAGATTACCAGTGCTTGAGAGAGGTGTTTTCGATATAGTACAGTATTTATGCTGCAGAATACAATGATGGATGGTTCGGAGGCAGAGCAAGCATTAACAAGTGGAGGACGGGAGTTAGCAGGAAACCCTGATACGGATGCCAGGATTTGTGAGTGGCAGAACAATGCCCCACACCTGCCCAGTGCAGGCTGCTTCCTGCCGTGTCGCGTGTGAGCCGCTGTGAAAGCTCATGGAACGTGTCTGCGCAGCCCCATCCTTTGCCAGCCATGGTGAGCTGAAGAGCTGGGCCTGAAAGCTCCTTGGTGAGCTTGCTTCTGATCTTGAGAGCTTAGATGACTAAGGCGTGATGCCCACAGGAGGAGGAGGTAAGCTTTTCTTGGTTAGTGTTTCTCTTTGGATGTAAAAACCTGCTTATAACCGATTTCTGAAGAAATAGTTTGTGATTGAGAGTTATTGTGGCCTGGGTGTGAATGTAAAGCCTGCTTCCCATTGCTGAGTAACTGTGTGTCTGCACTAAATGCAGACTAAGGGTGTTTACAGTGGACAAATCTATATTTAGACAAGTGCTGGTGGCAGCTTAACATAGGCTTAAAATAAACCTCTTCCATTGTGGAATCTTCCTTTCCCTTTTGTCCCTCCACTAACTGAGTTTATCTTGGCAGTAGAAAATTAAAATAGGTGGGCTTTTCGGACACTTTACAGACATTTGGAGATGAATTGTGAACTGCTTTAGCATATGCTGTATCCCAACAGCTCAATGGGTGCATAAGCATAGCTACAAAACTGCAGTGTAATTTGGAATCATGGTCTCAGCCTGTGAAGGAAGACTCAGGACTAGGCTAAGGGCAGTACTGGAAATAAGGCTCCATCTTAACTGGCAGAACTGTATTATACAGAAAAAACTTCACAGCATTTGCGTTGCAACAAGATTGCACTGAGATAAATTTAGGTCACTGGCTGTTTCATTCCGCTACTATTAGCTTCTCCATTTCATTGACAGAAAATAGATGCCTTCCTCGGTATTTTAATGTAGTTAAATCAGTGAGGGGAAAGTTAACTCAACTTTATTAAATGAACTTAATTCTCAAGGAAGATGAAAAGTGTATGCCTGTGCTCTGCAGAGTCTCACAGGAATGCATTATGCTACTTCCTGCCCTGATAAAAGCGTGCCATTAAACTTCAGTGCTCTGTTCTGGCAAGAAGTAGATGAATTGTCAGCAGGGAATAAGCAAACACCACTTCTGAGGAGCTGTCTCCAGTATTCGTGCTCTACCTGGTGACTACCTCAACAAAAATCTTTTGATATGCTGAGATAACTTCAGCTGCAGAGCAAGATGACAATCTACTTGGCCCATGTTTGCAAAAGCTATTTTATATAGTTTTTACAAAGACTAAAAGCTATCCACCAGAGGGGAACTGAGGATTTCTGGAGCATCCAACTGACACAGTATGGTCTGAGTCCAACTGGGAAATGGGCAGGCATGTGATGAGGCTGGTAACAGCCCTCTCCATGTCATGTGCTCAACAGGCAGAAACTAGAGATAGTTCTGTGCAACAAATGAGTCATTATTTTCTTAAAGGACATTCTTTAATGCATTTTTGCCACCTCATCGTGCCCTCTGCCGCAGCTCTGATTACTGCAGCTGTCACCCAGGAGTTTGTAGCATGGGACGAGAGGGGATATTCTGGCACTTGCTTTGCTCTAGTTCATGCTGCTTTTCAGCAATACTAACCATCCAGTTCTCTATTTTCTGTTCATCCACTGCTGAAAGTAAAAATGTGTTTAACTAATTTGCATCATAGTCTTTAATAAAGATTCTTATGCTAGCCTTTTAAGGTATGAAGCTAATAGAAAATAAAACTAAGAAAAGAGATGTGGTATTCCTCTTTTATGTGAGATGGCTCTGACCTTTTCCTTTCTTCTGGAAGGAATCTTCCTCCAATCTCTGAAGGAAATTGAATCCTTTTCCTAAAGCAATGGGTGCATTCTGAGCTATCCTAGTGTAATGTGCACCATCCTAACTGGGTTTTAGCTTTACTGTGAGGGACACTTAACAAGATCAATGCTACATGGAAAGATGGGGTTAAACAAGAGAAAATTCTTTTCTCAGTAAAAATAGCATTTGTGGTCTGTATTAGTATTGATCTTGATGAATTTGTGGCAAACCTAGAGGTCATGAAAGATCTGTGCCATAATAAAAATGTGCTACTTTGGGTTCCGTGAAAGTGAATGCTCGAGAAAAATGGAACCGATAAATTTCTTTGCTTGGAGATGCAGCACTAATTTTATTTCCATTTCACACACTTAGCAGATGCACTTGATGCTGCCAGCACTTATTTGTCATTTCATGTGCACTGTTGTATTTTAGTTGAAGTATATGTGATTTTTGAAATAGCTTTAAATTATTATGATTTTTCCTTAATGTTCTAATACATAAACCATCATTGTTTAATGAACCCAAATAGTTCCATTATCAGAGAGAGCAAATATACATGGCAGATTCAGAAGAATACATCATCTAAAAATTGTCACAGTTCCTTAGTTTGTTACAGCAAGCTTTTACTACACAAGTTTACTTCTGAAATCTTCAAAAAACATGCCTTGCAACTACATTAGTTAATTGTGTTGCATAGCAAGAGTATTTAAGTGATCAGCAAGGTAAAATTACTTTTCTTAGAAAACTTACCTATATCTTTCCTTGTTACCTACATGGGTAGCATAAGAACAACAACAAAGAAAAGACTTTCAGTCATGTAAAACTGAAAAAAGCAGTTTTAGATTATAATTCTTTGACCTAAATGACTGCTACATTTCTTTTGTTCCAAGTTTTGCACGTGATATTTGTTTTGCATGTATATATGGGTTTGACAACTAACATAGGAATCTGATTTACAAATCCTCATTTGGAAGTAGGCAGCTGAACGCAGTCAGACGGAGGTTAGACTGGTGATGCAGTTCATCTGAACACCTACTGCAGGTCTTGCCTGTGTTGTGGGACCTTTTCAGAAGAGGGTGGTGTGGACACGTCGCGTTGTGTGTTGGCAGCAACAGCCGGACTGGGTGGGGGGAGGCAGCTCCGCTGCTGGGTCTGCACCTCCCCAAACAAAGCAGGCTGTGTTCCCTGTCAGCATGGCCAGGATGGCACCAGGGGGGTTGGTACTACTTTATTGGCACCGCGGGGGAAATCTGTATTCTTTTCAGCTTAAACAATCTTATTGCCTTTCACACAAATGTGAGAGAAGGTATAACGGCCCTGCTTAATGTGGCCAAACAGCACTTGACAAGCCTCACTCTTTCAACCTCCCACATGAAGGGTTAAATTATAACTACTGAAATATTGTCTTTTAAGGCTTCTGAAGACAAGTGAATGTCCTTTAGACTCTGTAAGGCACAGATATTTAATACATCTGCTTAAATTAAACTCTAGTCAAACTACTGGTTGCTTTCCGCACCCTTTCCCCCTTCAATCATTAATGGACATTTTCCACAAGCAAGTTAACAAAACACCTAAGAAGACAATGAACTTTGGACATGTTCATTCCAGAGTTTCTCCTCCTATGCAGACTGTGTAGAGACTGCAAGTGTACAAAAGGATGCTTCCCAATCTGGACCACAGGTTACAAGACAGTAGTTGATCAAATATTTAGAATTCATTTACGTTTTAAAATTTTTCTCCATTGCAGATTATATACCTTCTTTTTAAAGAAGGTATAATGAACAATGAAACAAAAACAAAAAAACAAAACCAACCCCAAATATCTCCCCCTTCATCCAGGGTGATAATTCCTTTTTGGTCAGTTTTGTGCGTTCAGCACACCAGCTGTGTTTCTTGTCAGGAAGGACCCATTGCAGGATAGCTGGATTAATACCTCCTAAATTTCTTCTCTGTACCCTCAGGGGCTGCTGCTGCACTGTCTGCAGAGTAGAGAACGTTTCTAGATCATCTGTATGCTGAGACAGCTGCTAGTGACCTAGAACTACACATCCTGCAACCCTGGCTTACCAAAAATAAGGTAACTTTTTAACCAAGTGCTGCTCTCATCCCTGGCCACGCTATGTGAGTACCCTTATCCTGTGGATTCTTAAACCCCAGAGGCTGAGGAGAGGGTTTATATTCAATGTTTGACTTCATTTTCTATTTTAAAGTGAGGATTTAAGAATTATTCTGGTGATGTGTGGGACAAAAGTGTGGTTATGAAAGGTGAGACTATGGCACCGATATAACTCACTTGTCTTTGAAGGCCCTGTAGGAAGGGTTTCTGATGTGAAAAAATGAGAAGATTAATCAGTGATTTGAAATCTAAGCCAAATGGCAGTTGCCAAAATACTGTAGGCCAAGTGAGCAGAAACCTGGAGTTGGAGGGAGCTGCGTTGCTTGTTATGAAACCAAGGACAAAGGAGACATGGAGCTTTTTGTTTCTCTGGCTTGTTTTCACAGGTCTGTCTTTTGCCAGCAAGGTTGCCCTCTCAAAATTATGGACTGGCATGTTCATATGAAAAACAGAGTTAATTAAAAGCGGAGGACTTGTCATCTGGAAGGCATTCAGAGAAGTTAAAGCAAACCAATTAAGATCAATGTGTATTCATTTAAAGTGCATTTTAATTCTCAAGCGAGGTTTGGGAGGGATAGTGGAGGATGGGGTTCTCATTCAAGTCCAAAGCTGTCTGATCTAAAGTTGGTTTGCATCTGACTGGGACCACTTCCTCTGCATAAAGATCCAATGTATTTCACTGTGGGCTGTAACCCATACACCTTAACTCTTCTGAATGCTCCTGTGTAGATAAACTTCAAGCTTCTTGTATGCCGTAGTCTAATGACTACTTGTGAATTCACCAGTCCTCCTCCTCACTATTTTTTCAGATGCTCATAACCAATTCTATGATTCTATGAATTTTGCTAGTCAAATGTCCTGTGCTTAATTTCAGCACACAACATTGTTTTTTCAGTGTCTGTAAGAATTCAAAAAGCAAAACGCTTATATCAAGCACTGTAACGGGAGCCAGAGCTTCATATGCACTTGTATGCAAAAAGGTTTTATCCTGTTTATTAGGTTTGTATTGAAGTGTAGGAAACAGCACATCTTGAACAGTTCTTTCAGAATTATTATTTTCCAGCCATCTCTTGTGTGACTATGGAAAGATTTCAGTAAGTCCTTCGATTTCAGCCTGTGTCCTGGAGCCCAGGGAATGCTCGAAGTGAGCAGAGGCTGTTTACTATCTGGACACCTGTCTTCAGTCATTCCTTGTTTCTGCAGCTCAGTGCATGTGTGTTGCTGAAATGCTGTGCTCTCCCAAATAAACCTCTGCCAGCCTTGTTTTCCTTGACATCTAAAGCATTATCTGTTGGTGGAGTTTAAGCCCATTCACCTCTTCTAGTTGTCTAATCTGTATGCAGAACAATTAATGCCTTTCTCCTTGCAGTGGGTTCTTCTAATTCTTGAATAATGTAATTATGTTTCCCTTCCACCTTCTCTCTTGGTTAAATGTCATTTATTTCAGTTCTCTTCCCTGGACAAGTTTTCTAGAGCTGTGGTAGTTGTTGTTGGGGTTTTGTTTTGTTTTTTCTTTCTTTTCTGTTGGTTGCCCTTTTTGACATGCGATACCCAAACCTGAACCATATGCCAGTGGAGACCGTCTCACTTCAGAGGTGTCTTAGAAGTGAGACTTGAGTTTGTGCCATTCTTCTGTCAGTCCTTCCAGTAGCAATAGTCCTTCAAGTAGCAATATTAATTTTAATATTTCCCTGAATGCTGTGAGGTAGATCTAGCTGCTTTAAAAGCAGCTCAGTGCATGTGTGTTGCTGAAATGCTAATAAACCTCTGCCAGCCTTGTTTTTCTTGACATCTAAAGCATTATCTGTTGATGGAGTTTAAGCCCATTCACCTCTTTTAGTTGTCTAATCTATAGCTCAGTGCATGTGTGTTGCTGAAATGCTGTGCTCTCCCAAATAAACCTCTGCCAGCCTTGTTTTCCTTGACATCTAAAGCATTATCTGTTGGTGGAGTTTAAGCCCATTCACCTCTTCTAGTTGTCTAATCTGTATGCAGAACAATTAATGCCTTTCTCCTTGCAGTGGGTTCTTCTAATTCTTGAATAATGTAATTATGTTTCCCTTCCACCTTCTCTCTTGGTTAAATGTCATTTATTTCAGTTCTCCTCCCTGGACAAGTTTTCTAGAGCTGTGGTAGTTGTTGTTGGGGTTTTGTTTTGTTTTTTCTTTCTTTTCTGTTGGTTGCCCTTTTTGACATGCGATACCCAAACCTGAACCATATGCCAGTGGAGACCGTCTCACTTCAGAGGTGTCTTAGAAGTGAGACTTGAGTTTGTGCCATTCTTCTGTCAGTCCTTCCAGTAGCAATAGTCCTTCAAGTAGCAATATTAATTTTAATATTTCCCTGAATGCTGTGAGGTAGATCTAGCTGCTTTAAAAGATACTTGGAGTTCATGAACTCTTGTAAATAATTGCACAGAGGAGTGAATCTGGAGTGCAGGTCTGAAAGGGAAGTTATGCCATACCTGTAGGAGTTTTTTTTCTTTCTTTTCTGTTGGTTGCCCTTTTTGACATGCGATACCCAAACCTGAACCATATGCCAGTGGAGACTGTCTCACTTCAGAGGTGTCTTAGAAGTGAGACTTGAGTTTGTGCCATTCTTCTGTCAGTCCTTCCAGTAGCAAGTATTAATTTTAATATTTCCCCGAGTGCTGTGAGGTAGATCTAGCCCCTTTAAAACTCTGAAAGGGAAGTTATGCCATACCTGTAGGAGCTGCAGGGGCTGTAAATACCTGCTGTTGCTTCAGCATTTCAGCTCTAGGAATATTTCAGCTCTCAGAACTTCACTCAGCTCCTGGGCACGTTTGTATTCTAACCTGAGCTGACCTAAGTGGGTAGGGGTAGCAGGAGAGGTGTCAGGCTCAGCACACCGGGGCCTGTCCCCATCCTGCAGCGGCCACCGCTGTCTTTGGTACCCGGGTGGGTGCCCGGGGGGGGGATCCGCGGTGTGCCGGGGGTGAAGCCGCGGGGCCCTAGCCGGGGCGTGCGAGCGAAAAGCGGCGGGGGGTCTTTTGTGGTGCCTCGGAGCTGGGCCCTCACCAGCGGCGGTGGAGCTGGCCTGGGGAGCGGGCAGGGACACCAGGCTGCCCGCCGCGGCCCCGGTGCCCGCCTCTCCGCGGCGAGAGCGGGG